GTGTGTGTGTATATATATATATATATATATATATATATATGGTAGATTTTTTTTATTTTGCTCTCTCTTTTACCTTCTTTTCTGAATTTTTGCAGGAAAAGTTTTGTTTCGCGTTCTCTGCTTGATTCTTTATATTTTCTTCTGACATAATTAACTTCCAGTCTACTATTTTAGCAATGTCTTTCTGTCTCCTTCAGCATGGTTATTTTAAGTCTGTCTGATAGCGACAGTATCTGGAGTCATTGAGGGTTTCTGGGTTTTGTTATTTTCACTTACATTGTCTTGTCTCCTTTTGTGCTTGGTTACCTTTGATTATGTGTCATACATAGTATTTGAAAAACTATAAAAATATTTTGAAGCCTGAGGTGATATTACTTTCTTCCAAGGTGTGTCTGTTTTTTCTCTCAGGTTCTAGGGTACTAGCAATCTGGGATTACTTTAATCCAATTTTAGGAATTACAATTTTCTGGACCATTCAAATTACTGGAAGCTAGGCTACAATGTCCACAAAGACTGTTATTTCAGTTAACTCATTTAGGTTGCAAACATTGGGGATGCCAGCATCAGGCATGGAAGTTTTACCAGGCAGCAGTCCATACTCTTGCATGGGTCTGAACTCCAGTTTTTATTCTCTACCCCAGGGGTTGGCAAACTTTTTCCATAAAGGACCAGAGAGTAAATAATTTAGGCTTTGTGGACTATACAGTCTTTTGATGCAACAATCAATGCTGCCATTGTTCTTGAGAAGAGCCACAACGTGTGAATTAATGAGCGTGAATGTATTTCAATAAAGCTTTATTTACAAAATCAGGCACAAGGCCAGATTTGGCCCAGGGCCATAGTTTGTTAACCCCTGCTATAGTCTGTCAAAAGCTCTGCTCAGATTCTCAGCCACCTCTTCTTAAATTTAGGTTAGCCCTGAATGCTGATCTAGCCTCTCTTTGGTCTGCTGTGTTAAATAGCTCTCTAATGCCTTCAAGAATATTTTGGGTTTTTTATGTTTTGCCCAGTTGCTGTCAGCAGGAGGTTTAATCTGAAATACCTAGTCTGTGGTATTATTAGAAGCTAAAGTCATATACAAAGTTAACCAATTTAACAGCAGTGAGATTTTTTTTCCTCTTTGATCTCAGGAAGGAAATTTCTTGAGGTGTTCTCAGAGAATCTCTCTCACTGACATCCTTTGATATATAAATGACTTTTTCTTTAATGAAACTGACTTTTCAAGACATGTTTCTGTAGTCTTCCTAGAGTGATTGTGTATTCCAAGGTTAAATTTATAGAGCACTGTTGTCCATCAGAACTTTTCTGTGATGATGGAAATGTTCTACATCTTGCACTGTTCAATATGGTAGCTACTAGCCACCTGTGGCTATTGAGCACTTGAAATGTGTCTAGTGCGAATACCAAACTCCAATTTTACTTTACTTTTATTTAATTTTAACTAATTTAATTTTAAATAGCCATGTGTGGGTGGGTACTTAGTTTAGAGTGGATAAAGCTTAGATTAAATGAAGAATCTACTCTCAGTGCAAAATGTGTTCTTACAGTCTCACCCACCAAAGTGTCCATTTTCTAGTGCTTTTGCAAGAAATACTTAACCTAAATATATTCAATGGTCAGTAGTATCTCTCTAAATATCTTAGGCCTTGCAGAATGTTTCCATGTATTCCTACCATTCACCTGGTGTGATGGAAGTACACTTGCTATCCTCAACAGGCCACATAAAACCAATGCAGTCACTCAATTTAGTTTCTAACACATGTTTTTCTTTGCAGGGAAAGGGGCGACTTCGCCGAGGAAACTATCCAAGTCCATCCTCTCCTGTTGTAGTTCGGTTGCCCTCTATGTCTGATGTGCCAGAAGAGACCTTGACTAGTGAAACAGCTGTGGAGACTGACATCACAGAACAACAGCAAGCAGCTATGCAGCAGGAGGAGAGGGTACTGACTGAGCAGATTGAGAACCTACAGAAAGAGAAGTGAGTTTTCAGGAGGAAAAGGAGTGACCAGTTATTACCTGTTTTCCTTTCCTTCATTCTGTGCTTTCTTGATTTTTCCTTACTTAGTAAATATCTCCTATGTGTGAAGCACTGTATCAGGTGATACAGGGCATGCAGAGAAGACAAAGACATGTTACCTGGACTCGGGTAACAGCGTGAGAGTTGTCATTGTATTGACGGAAGCTCCATGAGCAGGGAGACCTGGAGATGCTGAACTGACACACTGCAACACGGTGTGTCAGTCTTAGCCAAGATTCCTCACAGGTCTGAGACCAGCCTCACTGACTAAATTGGTCTTTAAAAGGAGGAATGAGGATTCCTGGGTTAAGGCAGAGGCCCTTTCAAGAATGGGTATTACCCAGAACTCCCTAAAGGAAGGTTATTATCTGAAGATCAGTGTAGCCATGGGGCCAACAATTAGATGGTCAGGATAAGGCAGCAGCTCTAGTGGGCGCTGGGATACTATGTAGGGAAATTGGTTGCAATTTAGGAGAGAGACAAATAGTCAACTCTGTGCCCTCCGCCATCACTGGAGAAAGGGTAGGCAACAATAATACTATATTTGGGGGGATAATGTGGACAAGCTGTGGCTCTTTTTGAAGGTACTGTGTACTGGTTCTGGTTGAAAACGAAGACTCTTAAGCTTTAAGGGCATTTTTGTTCCTCAGTCTCACGATCCCAGGTCTGAGAGTTTGATGCATTAGGGAATATGGGAGTCTGTTGAAGTACTTTTTGCCTATCAGGACTGATTCTAGAATTTAGGCAAGCTAAAAAAGCAGCTGGGGCTCAGATATGCAGAACATGATAAGGCAGAAGTAGTATACATTGACCAGGGGCTGGTATTGGAGGTACTGAAGGATGAGTAGTTCAAGCTTGGTAGAGTGGAAGCAAAGCTAAGAAGGCCCTGAAGGAGAAGAGACTTGATGTAAAAGGGAATAAGAATTGTAAGGATAAGGAAGTTGTGGGCTGATGTATTTCCAGGTGTAAGATCTGCCCATTGGAGAAAGTTGCCCACATAATGTGGAGGAAAGCTGGTTAGAAGTAGCAGACATAGAGGAACTTTTGTCTTAGAGGACTGAAGTGAGCTTTTACGAAGACGTTAATTGACACAGATCTGGGTGACATCAAGCAGTAGTAAGAAAGCAAGATTAGGAGCCATGTACCAAAGACGTGAGAGAACAAGGGGGTTGAGAGGCAGGCTGATGAAGAGGAGCAGAGAATGCTGTGAGTGGGAGCAGCATAAGCTGCAAAGAACAGAAAAGATCAGTCAGCATTTGACTTCATCAGAGGCCTCTCTGTGTTTAAGGTGAGGATATCATCTATAGTGTAGTTAGTGCCTGTTTCATGGGAAATAGTTTAAGAGCTGGAAGGAATGTTAAGAGTTTATCTCATTAAATCCCTTTGTTTTGTGGATGAGGAAGCTGAGGTCCAGAGAGAGGAAAGTACACTCCTGCTGCATTATGTATGAGTTTAGAGTGAGTTTAGAACCCTGATCTGATTATCAGTCCCAAGTTCATTTTACCAAAATATCTTATAGCTGCAGCATCTTTTCCTACCTCACTCTTTGCTCTATTATAGGTCCCAGACTTTGCTGTTTTCAACCTTCATCATTACTGTGGCTTCCGGGTCTCCATCGCCACTTTGGTTGAGAACAGTAGGAAATGTGACTGTTTTTGCTACTTAAATTTCTTGCATCATAGGTCTTTTTTCCTGTTGTCTTCGCTCCACTTCTTATCAAATGCTAGTGGATTTATTGATTATATCTTACAGGGAGGAGCTAACATTTGAGATGCTTGTATTGGAACCCCGTGCCTCTGATGATGAAACCCTGGAGTCTGAGGCCTCCATTGGGACTGCCGATAGCTCAGAAAATTTGAATATTGAGTCTGAAGGTGCCATCTCTGAGAAATCAGGTAAATGAACATACTAGACCAAAGTCTCCAGATTTTTTTTGTGAAGGAGGAGTAAGGATTCCCAAGCTAATAAGACAAAATCCCTTTCAAGAATGCCTAACCTTATGTGAGAAGGTGACAAAGTCCTAAGGAGTTAAATATGTACTAATCTTTGTGAAACTTCCATTATATACTGTTCATTACACCAAGCCTTTAATGCAATGCAGCTTTTTGTCAATTTAATGTTTTCTCCTCGATTTACCACCGAGAAAAACCCATAGTAACAACACATGTCGTCTTACCCATGATCCATGTTCCAGAGGTGGTTACAGGCATTGTGCCCTGCTGAGAGATGGGGTTATACCAAAGGAGGTATTTAACCACCTGGCATGTCTCAGGGAGACGAAGAATTACTACATACCCTGGCAGTTTTTTAAATGATAGTGACAGTTGTAGGCCTCTCCTAATGGCATAGTCGAACTCCAGACTTCTTGGGGTTGATTCTGAAATGACCTACATAGAAATGGATAGCTTCTCGAGTTGTGACTGTGCACAAAGTAGGTCAGCTTGGACCCTTCAGACCTCAGCCCACCCAATTTCACATGGGAATGGTGAAACTGATTCATTATGGAATGATTTGCTTTAGAGAAAATTGTCATTTATAGCTTTGATCTCTTCTTTGAATTAGAGAGAAGCTTAGCCCTTAGCTCCCTGAAGGCAGCTGGCAAGTCTGAATCTTCAAGCAAGTTCCGAAAGCAGCTAAAAAAGCAGGAAGACTCTTTGGATTCAGTGGACTCTTCAGTCTCTACTTTATGTTCGTCTAGCACTGCATCTTCTCATGGGACCAGAAAACGATTTCAGATTTATTCTAAATCTCCATTCTACCGAGCTGCCTCAGCTGGGGAGGTCCTGGGAATGGAAGGGCCACTGGGCCAGAGCAGATCCCTGGAAGACAGGCCTCAATTCATCAGCAGAGGAACCTTCAACCCTGAAAAGGGCAAACAAAAATTAAAGAATGTGAAAAACTCACCTCAGAAAACCAAAGAGACCCCAGAAGGGACAGTCTTGTCTGGCCGAAGGAAAACTGTGGACCCAGACTGCAGCTCCACCCAACAGCTAGCACTCTTTGGAAATAACGAGTTTATGGTCTGAACTGGCAGCTGTATGTCCTGTCATGGCTACAGAGTGGTAAACACACCTCCTCTTCGGGGCCTCTTCTCATCACCTTGTCCACAATAGTCCATCCTAATTGTGGTCCTGCCTCTTGCCCAAGCATACAACTGAGAACTTGTGTGCTAATTTCCTGGGCCTCCTGCAGAAGCAGAAAAGCCCCTTTGAAGCCTGCTGGGGATGGTGCCAGCTGTGCCTTGGCTGCTGTATTTGACTGGAGATTCCACCAAACAGAGCCACCAAGGGCCTGGGGATTTGGGCCAGTTGTGAGGTCTTTGTAGTTGCCTCTCCTCCGTCTTCTTTTCCTTCCCAGATGTGGGTGTTGAACTGGAGGGGACATGGTGGGCCTGAGGGACCCGCTGATTTCTGACATTGAAAGAAAACATATAAATCTTTCTTAACCATGAAAGCAAAAGCCTTTGGGTTTATTTTGGGATAGTTAGGAGCTGGAGCAGAATATAATTTTTTTCCAAGGATTTATAAACAAAAAGCCTAAGCCCTCTATTTTAAGATTTTTGAGAAACACTCCATGTTATATTTTGGGGAAAGTAAAAAAGTAATTGTTTCCATGAAGCCATCAGAGCATGCCTCAGACATCTGGTTACACAATGAAGAAGAGAGTACATGTTTTGTTTTTTGATGATGTTCAGTGTCATAATAATCAATGCTGGTTTCACTCCTGGTTAGTTCTTGCCAAACATACTGCATGGGCTAAAGTTTCAGTAGCCTACTTTTCTCATATTTCCTGGTCCTAGGATTAGGTTCCTCTGATTTTTTTTAAAAGTCTCATCAGAGACATGGTGATCCCTAAACATGAGGGTTTCATCCTAATCCACCCAGGCCTTTCTCTTCGTATAGATTAAATTGAAGATCACAAACGAACCTGTTCATTTGCTGGTGGATTTCCACCATAAACTCAGACAAATAATGTGACCATTTAATCACTTCTCCCAAAACATTTATACACAACACTGCATGAATAAGTGTTAACAGAAAGCTGCCAAAAAATAAAAAAGTTTTTAATATAACCATCTAACTATTATCTTCTTTTCCTCAGACCATCAGTATTAAATAGATGAAAGAAAAATCAAGGACTACTTGAAGCTATTTTTGTTAATATTCTGGTTACTGAAGTTTACTGTAAATATATATGTATAGTATGCATATTTCTTTTTAACTTTATGCTTCCCTCCTTCCCATGGAGTTTCTTCCCACAGATTAGGGGCCATTGGATAGGGGTGAGAGCCACTATCCCTGGGTTGAGGGAAAAATCAAACCATCTTTTTCACCACTGGGTGTCTCCACACACCTGAGCTATAATAATAGTATTTTAAGCTTCTTAGCATTTGTGGGATTAGAAATCTGTTTTTGCTATTTATAATATATGGAAAATGAAACATGATACTCTTTCTTGAGATAAGTATGTGAAAATGTTTATTTTTAAAGTTACTAAATGCATCTTGTCTAACTACCACATGCACTGTTCTGAAAAAGAGCCTTTACCATCTGTAACCTGAATTTTGGTTATTCTTTCTTTTCATACTTCTTCAATTTGAAGTTATGGAAATATTTAGATTTTTGTTAAGGCAGAGTCTCTCCTGTTACACAACACTGAACCTCATGTCACTGCCTCAGTGGTTATTGTCAAGCCCCAGAGGTCGGACTTGGAACATCATTCTGAGTGGCAGCTAAAGGTAGCAGGAGTCTTACCTCTCCCTGGTTTGGTTTCAGAAATGAGCTAGGGAAAGGAATCTTTTTAAATCTCCAGAATGATGATGGCTGTGAGTAAATGTTAGATTTTATATCCCGCAAACATCTGCCACCTTGTTTGTGCCGAGGAGTAATAAATTTAAAGCCTTTAAAAATCTGAATTTTGGAGAATCTCCTAGAGGAAAACCCAGCCCCTCAGCGTGGTCATGTCCAAGTGGGATTGCTGGAGCCTCAGGGCCCCTTGCCGGGCCACACAGGTCTGCTTCAGGATTCCGGGGAGAGGAGTGTCCTCCTGGGCATTCACAGCTACTCTCCACTTGCTCCAGAACATTGGTTAAATACTATACAAAAAAGATATTACCCTTGTCGGATAGTCCTTTGGCCCTGAGGAACAGCCTGGAGGACACATCTCAGCATATGTTCTCCCTTCTAAATCTTTGCGGATTTTGTTTGTTTGCAAAATAAGGTTTTGGCAGTTAAAAAAGAAACTACTCATTATAGGTAGGTCACTTTATAGGAACTAGGCAGTGGATGATAAGAGACTTTATAATTTTTCTCAGGGACCTGAAACCTGAATTTGGATAAAATTAAATAAAAAATACTTGTTTTTCAGTTGCTAGATTTGTGGATTTCTAGTTATTTAACAAACTGCCAGAATGGAGGATGGTGGGGAGGAGAGATCCACACAAATGTTAAGAATGGAGAGCAGGTGTGGGACCCTCCCTTTGAAGGAAAGAAAGCTTTTCTTCTCGTAGGATAACAGGTGTTGTTGGCCTGATAAAGAGTTGAAGCCATAATTCTTAAAAGCTGTCAGAACCAAGTGCTGTATCTTCTTCCATCTGATCTTAACTGGTCCTCTCCATGGTTCAAGTTGTCACCACAAAGTGACGCTGTATTACAGTCACTTACAATGAAGATGTTAACCCTTAATATGTGTCAAAGTCATGCTTCCTATTGCTTCTCCTTTGCTTTTCTCTGCTCTCAGATGCCACAAACAAAATCCCTGCGTGGCATCAGTGGGGCAGCCCCCCATCTGGAGCCCGTACTCCAGAATACAGAGAAATTCTGTTCATATCACACATTCCCAGCCCCAAACAAAGCCCAGATTTTCACTTCTCCCCATTAAAGCCAACATATCCTTTATCATGGAAAATGTAATAAAAGCAGAGAAGTATAATTTTAGGGTTATGTTGTGTATCATTAAGTGAAGCAAATCTGTTCAACAGCAAGGATGAGGCAGGTGGCATGCTTAACACACTCTGTACTTCCTGCCATTTTATTTACTTTGCCACTCTGGCCTTCTGGAAACACAAAGGGAGATAGAGAGTTCCCAGTATGGGCCTTGCACAGACAGGGACCTGAAGAAGGGATGGGATACCAGACCCCTACCTTCTCATGCTTTGGAAACCGGGTGCAGCTCTTAACCCTGCTGGGAGGTTAGTGGAGACTTCCTGTGTTCCGTGACAGTAGGGTTGTTTTCACTGTCAAAGACCGAGGACGGGGGGCCTAGAAGAAAAGAGGAGCTCCAGCAAGGTTCTGCAGGCCCACTTCAGTGACCGTGGGCCACGATTTTTTAACTGTAACTAACGAATGTGTACCTTTTATAAGCACTTTGGTGAACTAGAGAAGAAAGTATTCTCAGGATGTGTTCAAAGCTAAGAGGGTTTTTATTTTAAAATGAAACACAGTCCAGATGGCTTTCCTAATCCTCCTCTCTTCTCCCCTGTGGTGGGAGCTAGGCATGGGGCATGCGTCATTCTGTGTTGACAAATGTGTTATGTCTGTCCATATTTTGTGACAGTTCCCCAGCACTGTCCCCCAACAACACCATGCTAGCCTTGGTGGTAAAAGTCCCTGGTGTTTGAGGAAGTCCTCTGTTCTTCTGTGCCCCTAAAATATTTCTAACCACTTTTCTCTGGAACCACTCCCACATTTGATTTGGTGTTAAAGGAAACAGCAAGATGAAGAATGTGGAGATGGATCTATTTGGTCTTGTTGGTCTCTTGGCTAAAACTGTTTAAGGGGCCTATCACCTTGCTATCCATCTATATACTTAATGCCTGTTTATCAGCCCTCTTAGGTCATATAAAAGTTGCACCTTTTGAACCAAGTAATTGTATTTACTAGGGGAAAGGTGTGGATTACAGATTAGTATTATATTATTTTAATGGATTTAAAGTAATTTATAAGTATGCTGAGTGTAAATTTTTAAGACTATGTATTGTAAAAGGACATATCCTGTGAAATATATCATTTTACTGTTTAACAGAATAATTCTATAAAAAGAATGATTTATCTCACCCACGGAACTGATTACATTCCTGATGCAATCAACAGGCACTTTGTAATTTCCTTTTGGGTTGTTTTTTTTTGTTTTGTTTTTGTTTTTTTTGGAGGTGGGGGAGCAAGACATCATCTGTATGAAGTGCAGTTTGTGTCACTCAGAATATGCACTGTATAGCTACACAAAAGCAGCTTGATGAACAAATCACCCCGTGGCTCATTAAAGAACAAAGCTTCCAGAAGCAGCAATCCGTGTGGTTTGTTTTCTGACCATCCTGGCTCCCACCCTAACTCACTCCAGTCCCACTCCAGTGGTTTTTGTTTAAGGAAAGGACTGAGCAGTTGGCAAAGTACAGAAACAGTAATTACTGGAACTCAGCTGAATTCAAGTGAAGGGTGAGATTCAAGCTGTTAGTTTTCTGTAATGGATGCTAGCTGCCAGCTGTTAAGACTTCCATTTAATCAGCTCAGAGCTAGGTGGACAGCCAAGACCGCAAGTCTACATTTAGGATCCTCACCAAAAAGACTGTGAAGAAGTAGCAATATCTGCTGTGGGCCCAGGAATTCAAGCCTAGGTTGTGCTTTTTGTTCTGGCTGTGATTTGGAGAAAGTTGAGAGCCCTTTCTGGGTGTCAGTTTTCTCATCTGTAAATTTCCCTTCCTCGGGTTTACTTCTCTGTATAACTCCTGCTGACTCTCAGGTGTCTGTGTAAAGGGAAGTTTACTGGAAATTTACGCTTCCCCCTTGAACTGGGTTAGATGTCTTGTATTCTCAACAGAGCCCAGTATTTGTGCCATCAAAAATCTGTTTGATTAAGCTTCTCAAGGCAAGAAGTGTGCCTATCTTGCTGACTCTTAGATCCCCAGCACCTAACAAAAAGTGCCCTTGCTTAGATATTGGATGAGCAACTTGAAGGAGATTGGGGGTTCCCAAATGCCAAACCAGGTCGAAGGTGAAATAGAAAATTGTTCAGTTTTTAGTTAGAATTCTGAGATCATCTTCCCATTTCTTTTTGCATTGTTTATATTTACATTTTTGCAATAAGTTTACATCAAAATGATAAGGATGGTGAATTGTTTCTTAAAATGTCTTTCGTTGGCCAAATAAAACCTAGAAATGCCATTAAAAAAGTTTTTTTTAATGTTTATTTCTGAGACAGAACATGAGTGGGGGCAGGGGCAGAGAGAGAGGGAGACACAGAATCCAAAGCAGGCTCCAGGCTCTGAGCTGTCAGCACAGAGTCCAACGTGGGGCTCGAACTCACACACCGAGAGATCATGACCTGAGCTGAGGTCGGTCGCTGAACCAACTGAGCCACCCAGGCGCCCCAAGAAATGCCATTTTTGAGACATCCCCTGTGATAGCTGAATCTACAACAAACCTCCCAATTATGAAGAAAGCAGAAAGGTGTAAGGAGACAAGTTCTAAAGAGACCAGAGCCTTGTGTTTTTGGTTTTTGGTTTTTTTGTTTTTTTAATTGTTCTTCTATATTGGGTAGCAGTACAGTGTCTAAGAGCCAGGGACATAACCATGAAAGCAAATCAGACACATGTAATATCTGATTGTTGAGTCTGTGGGCATCTCGGATTCCTATCTGAGTATGTCTCCTCCCAGTTCTGGGTGGCCATTTATCCATTCATCCAACAAATATTTGCTGAGCACCCATAAACACTGTCCCAGGTATTTGGGGTAAATTGGTACAAACAAAACAAAGCTCCCTAACCCTGTGGAGCTTGAATTTTGGGGGGAAACAATGTCCACAAGATGGAGACTAGTCATCCACAACACCTGGATTCCACAATCAGGTTATATTTATTAATTTGAATGGTGCTTCTTGGCATCTTTGGGTCTTTCTCTGCCTTTCTTACCATGAAAGTCCCTTAAGGGTGCAGGAGGATGAGTGTCCCTCCAATCTGCAAACTGCAGTTGAAAAGAAAGGCCCAGATAGGCCCACAGAGACTACCTCCATGTGCTTCATAACCAAAGACATTTCTAGATTTGAGGGCAAAAAAGCTTTCACAGTATCCTCTTCCCTAGCAACAGCCCTAAATGCAATGAAGGAGAGCTCTTTTCCATCCAAATTTCAGTGGGGCCAATTTACAGCAAAATGTTGAGTAAATCCTTGAGATCAACTAAGCTCTATATTGTATTAGGAAAACAAGAGCCACTAGGTGTATTTCAGGTGAGAAGGATTTAAAAAGGAATCAGGGTTAAGTTTAACAATAAACATTGGAAGGACTGGGAAAACAAAGATCAGAGAAGCTCCTGCAGAAGGTAGAGAAAGCCAACACAGATCTCAGCCAAAAGATCCAAAGTTAAGAGCTTGCCTCGAAGCTACTGCAGTTCTAAGGAAGACTGCCTGAAACCTCCGTCTTCCCACACAGCTGGCTGCAACTGCCTCCAGAGAGTAATGGCTTCCTCCTTTACCTTCCTAGGCCCCTGTGAGTGCCTGCCTTTCCTGAGGGAGCCTTAGGCAAAGGGATCCTGGGAAATGTAGTTCCTGGCATCTCCGCAACCAAGACAAGACCTTAGAAGGGGGGGGGGTGGTATTGATGCCGGTTGCCAGCAGATAATTCAGTTTATGTAGCTCCTCTAATTCTCCATGACTTCCTCCTGGAGATCTCACTCTCTCCCAATATAGGATTGCTGTGCTCACACATCCCAGACACCAGCCTGTGAACTTCAACAGGCCACCTCCGCACTCCTTTATGTTCTCAGGAGCATGACTACAGGGTACATGTCCGGGGCGTATCTGGTCCTATTTCACCCTTGTGTCTTGCTACAGTGCCTTTGCTCGGACTTTCTGTTTGCAGGCCTTTTAAACCCTATGGTTAAAACTTTTGATAAGCAATTAGATAGTAAAATGACACTGTGGACATTAAATGGCCTGCGTAACTGAGGCGTATCTGATGCTTTTAGAAGACCCAGAGTAGTTTGAGTGCTCAAGTGGGAAGGGCTTAAGCTGGGCAATATTTGCCATCCTCTTTCCTCTCTGGGCACCGGCCTAGCTATTGTCATTTCCAGAGCAGAGTGTCCTGAACCACCTCCTTCCATCAAGGCAGGATATCTCTGCGAGCTAGAATTCATAACACAGGCCAAAGGGCAGGGAACCCCTAGGATTTCACATATTTCTCACATGACCTTTTCCTTCTTGACTTCAAGTATTTCTTCTGTGGGGACAGGAAATGCAACAGCGTTGTTCAGCGATTCCAGGAGTGGAGGGGTGTGGTGGGGCGGCAGTGCCGGAGTTCAGAGGAGTTGAGTCCCACTAAGGTTTGTGTTCCCTCCAAGCCTCAGGGTTTTCATTTATCAATGGGGATGATAGGTCCCTGTCCCGGAGCTAATGTGAGGATTAAATAACAGGGGCATTCAGCGTTTGGTTCACTGCCTGGTATAAAGTAAAGCAAACTTTACTACCATTTTGTAGGTCTTTTGCGTCTGCCTTTGAAATGGATGAGGCTTGGCTGAGCATTTCTCCCTAAGGAATTAAGAAGTGTTAGAGATTCCCCTTCCCCAAAAGTGCCTGTAGCTGCCTGGTTTTGAGTCAGATGGGCTCACCTTTGTTTCTAGAAGGGTGAGGAAGAACAGGAAGAGAAAGGCTGAGAGAGCCTGTGGGCTGGCGGGCCCCATCTGGAGAGAGGCTGGCCTTTTTGCTCCTGTGGGAGTTTCTGAAGCTAGGCTTGAATTTGTTGCACCTGGACTCTGCCTTGGCATGGAAACCAGATGGAACACGAGTCTGTGCTCATTCCTTCCATGTCCTCAAAGGGAGAGCCTTTTCCACATGTGTTTTCTTTTTTGTTGTTGTTGTTGTTCACTTTTTTATTGAGATTTAACATAATACAGTAAAGTACACAAATCTTAAGTGCATGGCTCAATTAATTTTTATGAATTAGTAGATTTGGGAAACCACCACCTGGGTCAAAATAAAAACCATTTCTAGCATGCCAAAAGGCTCCCCTGGGTCCTTTCCCAGCCACCCACCTCCCTCCCCCTGAGGTAAGTACTATTCCAGCTTCTGTCACCATCCGTTAGTCCTGCCTGTTCTTGAACTTTGTATAAGCAGAACCTGTGCCTGGAAGGGTTCTTCGGTTCCACTTTTATGTCTGTGTAATTCATCCATGTCGTCACATGTGTTGGTAGTTCACTCTTCTTTATTGCTGTTTTCCATTAAATGAATAGATCACGATTTATTAATCCATCCTATTGCCAAAATACAGTTTGGGGCTATTAGGTATAAAGCTGCTATGAATATTCTTATAATCTCTTTTAGTGGACATTTCTGCCTGGTACGCGTGTACCCACAGGTGGAATTGCCGAGTCACAGGGCAAATGTTTGGCTTTGGTAGATTGTTTTCCAAAGAAGCGGTGCCCATGGTAGTTCCATGTCTCTCAGTTTTTGAACATATCACAGAGGAGCTTCTCCATTGGAGTATTCCCTATGGTCTTGCGGAAAAAGAGGAGCTCAACCCGTTCAGAAGTGATAAACCTCAAGGATGGGAGGAGCAGGAGCAATTTCCCAAACCTGAACGGGAGAGAGAACAATATCAGTTTTATCGGCAGCTTCTGAGCACGAGTCATGGGGGCGGTGGCATAAGAAAGCGTGCGTGAATATTGTTTATGTGTAAAGATTGGAAAGTGAGGAGTTATTTACATTAATACTATGTATGAATATATCAATCACATATATGATTATTATGATAGCTGTGGTCAATACTATAGATATTTGAGTAAGAATATAAATTCCCCTGTGTAAGCCTGTTAGGATGATAGAGTAGCCGTTAGTGAAAGTGTTCTGAAGTTGAAGCATCATTTTTGTGGTGAGATACTCCTCCAGAAGCAAAACAGCTGCAGTTTTCAGTAAGAACCATTTGCCAGGGCGAGAGTCCCCAGTGCAAAGAAGGAAGGTGGATGGCGAAGCTCCACAAGACAGACGGGAGGGATCAGCAGGGTTCAGTGCCCAACATCAAGGAGGCCGCTCCAAAGTGGGGCAGCTCCACCCGCAACTCCCACCATGGAGGTCTGTGGGAGGCCTTCCCTCATGGGCCAGGTATCCGTGGGACTTGTTCTGCCCACCCAACCCGAGGGCTTCCTTTCTCTTGCGGGCGCCAAGTGGGTGGCACCCCGCAGTCCTGCCCCTCTCCCTTGCTCCTTCCCGTCTTGTTCATCTGAGTTGGGGAGTTTCAGGAAGAAGTAACTAGAAAGTCAAGTCGAGAAACTGTTTTTCAAACTGCAGGAATTCATCCCCTAGTGGGTCTGAAATTAAATTCAGTGGGTCACCACAAGCCTTAAAAAAAAAAAAAAGAAAAAGAAACGGAGTAAATTACTGTCTGCAAAGTAAGTGCAGGTACTTTTCGGTGGGACTTTGTTTCAGTGTCTGTGTGTGGACTGGGTTGTGATGGGAACTGTATTTCTTCCTGCCTATTGCAGTTTCTAAAAACTGAAATACACGGACTTAGAGAACCGAAAACCTCTCTGTCACTTCTGTCTGTAGTTGATATTGAACTGCTAAGAGGTGACGTAGGAAATCTTAATCAGAATTGGAAATCTGACACCAACCCAATATGCCCGGACATCTCTGGGAGCTGATCCCAGTAGAAAGTCTGGGAGGGCTACTGGATGTGTTGAGTGTCTGGGATGACTGTGCTTAGGACACTCTGTCGCACCTTAGGAACAGCTGTTTCTCCCCATGCTCATAGGCAGCAGAAATCTTTCTGGACAACCCCATATATATTCCTTGTATACTTTGACTCCTTTTAAAGGGAGGTTACCTCCTGACATCATTTCTCAGATCAGAGGTGATTTGAAGATGTTCATGTTCACCTAACTTCTTCAGAGACAGCCGCTGGGCACCCCAAAAGAATGCGGATAATAAGGTCTAAAATGGCCAGTAGAGGGGCGCCTGGGTGGCGCAGTCGGTTAAGCATCTGACTTCAGCCAGGTCACGATCTCGCGGTCCATGAGTTCGAGCCCCGCGTCGGGCTCTGGGCTGATGGCTCAGAGCCTGGAGCCTGTTTCCGATTCTGTGTCTCCCTCTCTCTCTGCCCCTCCCCCGTTCATGCTCTGTCTCTCTCTGTCCCAAAAATAAATAAACGTTGAAAAAAAAAAATTAAAAAAAAAAAAATAGCCAGTAGATGCCTGGAGGTCAAGTGGCCCAATCTATGCCGAGGCTCCACTGCATCTACTGGTGTTGGATGAACGTGGCCCCTGCCCCCACGCTCCCCCAGCCACGCTCTCAGCCTGGAGCTCCTGCCCCCAAACCCAGCCAGGGCCGGGCCATCATCCGTGCACGTGGCTTAGCCCAGTGCATCCTGACAAGATGTTACCCTGCAGCTCCAACAGACCTGGTCATGTTCCCTAAAAACTATCTCTGCCCGACGTCCCCTTTTATTTCTTGACTCCCTCTTCTGCCCGATAGCACCTCTTCTCTGGCTCCAAGTCCGACCCATTCTGACTCCTAGAGGCTCCTGCCACTGTCCTCTCCCGTCTACTCCCTATGGCCACTTCTGGAGAGCAGGACCCCAGGGACTCCCCCGGATGAGGTCAGCGTGCACCACCCTCCCCGATCATATTCTCTGTACTCACTCCGGCTCTGTGCACAACACCCTTCTGCTCAAACACATACGGTGGCTCCGTCTGCCCGCCAAATCACGTATGGCCTTTGGCTGGCATTCAAGTCCTGGACAGGCTGGCCCCAGAGCACTGTTCTGGCCTAATCTCCCACCTCCTCACTTGGCAGCAACCTGGTACACCTTCCGAACTGGGCTCCTGTCCTAGATACCCACATAGATACATACATAGAGATACAGGTATCTGAACTTCAGTATCTGACTAGGGTGCTTCTCGTCTTCGGTGTGCTCACTGGGCGGGGGGGGGGGGGGGGGGGGGGGGCATCCTTGGAAGGCAGCAACTTTGTCTTATGCTCATTTTGGTCCCTACTCCTGGGGCCTGGCACACAGTGGATGTTGGATTCGGGCCGGATGAACTCAGACCTTTGGGCCATCTGATCAGTGCAGCCCAGAGATGATGTCAAAGCGGTGGGGGGAGGGTGAAGAGGAGAAGGGACAGGTGGGCAGGGAGGCACGCGCTCAGGTCACCTCACAGGCTGGCTGGGGTGGTGTGCCTTGCTGTGCTGGCTCAACATCACTTGGGACTGGTCCTGCAAGGCCTCCACGTGCTCAGGATCCTTCAGGCCTCGAGTTTCTGGAGAGAAACAAGCATCGGCAGTGAGCTCCTCTCCCAGCCTGCCCTCTGGTCCCTCTCCACCCCCCACAGTCAACCAGGGCCCTTAGGAGGGATGAGCCGGGCCCCGTGCCTCTCTCCTCCTGCCCCCCAGGGAAGAAGCCTCCGCCCACCTGGGGCTATGTGGGGCCGTGGAAGCAGAACGAGAGGCAGAAGGAAATCACTGGCATTGTCGTTCTTTGACCCCAACTGCCTTTCTTTAAGGCCTGGGCAAAGACTGGGCTACCTGGTTTGAAGAGGACCAGAGCCTTCATGCAGGCGAACTCCGTGGGGTCCACCGCCAGCGCTCGGAAGCGTGAGATGGTTTCTTGCAGCACGCGGCTCTCCGCGCTGGCCAGTGCCAAGCGGCCCTGGGAGCTGCCGGCAGCGGAGGGCTCAGGTGCGGCCAGCAGCGGGCAGCTGTCCAGAGGCAGGGACCACTGTATGGCTCCGAGGAGGAAGAGTTCACTCCATGCCTCTTCCAGCAGGATCACCTGTGCTCAAGAAGCAGTGAGTGTGATGACTGAGAAACGACCTGTCCGGCTCAGCCTGCAACCTCCGCCACCTTCTCTGGGGCCCTAGGAAAGGAAGGGCTTGGTCCCGGATGCCTAGACCTTCTCCTGACCTCTGCCCGACACTGGCCAGGGGCCCAGAGTTCTAGGATTTGGTATGATCTGGCCCAGCTGCGTAGGCTCCAAGACACTATAGCCTCCACCCAGAGGCTCAGCTGGAACATTTGGGAAGTTCCGAGAGCCGAGGGAAGTTGGACCGCCTCGGGGGCACCCCCACAAGCATCCCAAGTTGAGTGCATTCAGCAGGCTCTGCCTGACTTCTGAGCCGCTCCTTGCAAACCACCGGCCAAGGACTCAGACCCTCAGTGTGCCTCCCTTCCTGGGTTTATTGTGACGCTTCCGCTTGCCCTTGAGACGCTCAGAGGGAAGTCCTACAGGTGAAGAGGTTAGGCGGAAACTGGAGCTCTGAGGTCAGAGGCACTCGTGCTCCTGGGGAGCCCAGAGTCACCCGCTCACGCCGCTGACAGGAGGGCAGACTGCCCTGTCACACAGAGGGACTGTAGGACCTGAGGGTGTGTCTAGGGGGAGAGAGGACCCAGGGGGCCATAGGCATTGCCTTCAAATCCCTGGTCTCTGCGTCACCTCCTTGCTGCACGTCCCACCATCATCTCTGCCCAGAGATGTGAGCGCCCCCAACGGTCACGTCCCTGAGACGCGTATCCCTGACCAACACGGACCCAGAGACATGTGCCCCCACACCGTCACCACCATCCTTTCCAGGCCCCCGCCCCCCCAACCATCGCCTGCACGACAGTGTATGTGCCCCCAACCCGGCTGACCCAAGTGCATCCCGACACGCGTACCTGATCCCGGAAGGGCAGGTTGGAGAGAAGGTTTCTGAGACAGTTCTTGGCCACTTAATGACCATAAAAGAAAGCTGGTGATGTCTCATGGATGCTGTCCAGGCCACACGGGGATGAGGAGGAGTATGGGGATGAGGCGGGATCATTGCTGGTGACATCAATATTCTCATGTGGCTGTTGGAGGAGGAGGCTGCTCTGTGGCAGGAGCAGGGGAAGCTCAGAACCTGAGGGTGAGGCTAAAGCCTGCTGCGGCAGCACCCAGCAGCCAGCACCCAACCCGTCCCCCCCCACTTACCGTCCTCTGGCTCCCAGCTTAGCACCGCGTTTACGGCCGTTATAAGGCTGGCTATGAAAGTGGTGGTGACCTGGAGGGAGTGTGAGCCCAGACCCCAGAGGCTCTGGCTGCAGAGAGGCTGAGGCCCGGACTGGGCCCTGCAGGCTCAGAGGGGCCCCAGGGGCTCAACCCGGCGCTCGGATCTAGCTCCATACTGTGGCAGTTATAGGCTGTGTGCCCATGACTGGGCGTTCATTCACACAGCTGGAGCAGGAAGGGTCAGGACCCCCATCAGTCTGTGCCCCGTCTCTGTTGTCATATAGCTCTCGGGGCCGGCTCTCACCATCCTGGTTCGCCTTGCCTCCTGCAAGCACTTCTTCAGCCCGGCAGGCCTGGCACTGGTCGGTGGGCCTTGTCCGGGCACATCCTGCCCCCACCACAGCACCTGCAGGAGGAGGTGAGCCCCAGGGTGTCAGTGCTGCCACCAGGCCCTGGACAGCTGGCTGGGACCGTTTCCCCAGTCCTTAAGTCCTGGACATCCTCCACCCCTCAGCCCCCCCCCCCCCCCCCGCCCCAGAGGCTCACCCCGGTGGATCTGCCCGCCCCTCACCCACATTAGATGAGCCGCCCTTCTCTTGAAGAAGCCACTGCAGCCGTTGCAGGCGTAGATGCCATAATTCTTTCGCTGCTGTCACCACCTGCATGACACTGGGCTGAGGGGCTATGCCTGAGGGGCAGGGGCAGGGCTGGTCTGCCCTTCCATCCCACCTTCTCTGGGAGCCCTCCCCGCCTCCTTCCCTTTCCGGTCCCCACCCACATTTAAACACACTGGCACTCTCTCCTCCTTTACCTACACACCCCCCCACCCCCCCCAGCCGGCTTCTTGTACTCCACACAGCCTCCTCGGGGCCAGTTAATCCAAGCTCTCTGCCTCCTGCCCCACCCAGCTCCCATCCCTTCTCTGCAGGTGACTTCAGGCTCTGGCATCCCACAGAAACGTTCCTGACCCACATCCCTGGGAGCTCGGCTGCCACACCCCAAGGCTGCTTCTCTCTCTTTTCCCATCAGTTCAGCTGTCCCATCCTGACTCTGCTGACCTTCACCCCGTTCTATTCAGGTTGCTGGCCTGTCCCCTCACTCTTGCCCACAGACCTTGGGGCTCTTTTTCGTGGTGTCTGCAAATCTCAGGTCCTCCACACTCCAATCCCCCAAGGGCCCGGATGCTGCCTCCAGGAAAGCCATACCTGCCGGCTCCTCTCCCAGGCCCCATGTGCCTGGAGACTCCTTCCGGGAAGCAGCCGCAGTGGCTGGCACAGCTGCAGCCATGTTGGCACTCATCCGCAGGCAGCGGGCCTGGTGCTAGCGGGTCCCCCGCTTCCTGCCTGAGGGAGGCCTCCTGAGGGGGCGCAGCCGTGCTCCCCCTCTTTCCACCTCTGTCCCTCTCTTGGTGCCCCCGTCTCTCTTCTATTTCGACTTCTCTGTCTCCCTGGCCCTGGTGGTCTCCCTCTGTCTTTGTCTCCCTCCCGAGTCTTTCCTCTCTGTTCTGTCTGTCTGTCTGAACTCAGGAGCTGCCCCAACTTCCCCTCACAGCAGCGGCTCTGGATCTAGGAGATTTCTCCCAGGGCAGCACTGGACGCAGCTTATGATCCTCTTAATCTTTACTGTCTCCACAGGGGATCAACCAGCCACACCTGCAGCGTCACCAAGGTGCCCGCTGAGCCGGTCGATCTTGCTGCCCCCACACCAGCCCCCAGGCTGCCCAGGGTCCCCCGGTCCCTTCCCCTCTGTGCCCTCAACCTGCTCGCCGTTCAATGCCAAATCTTGAAGGGAAGTGTGGACTCCAGGTCCCCTAGGACTTTAAACCTCTTGGAGCTGCTTGGCATGTGTCTGGGAGAAAGTGTGTGTCTGGGAGGTGTGTGTGCGTCTGTGTGTCTGTATGCTTCCATGTGTGTGGCACTCACTGTGGCTCCAGCTTTCCACCCTCATGGTTCCTACCCAAGCCCTCTATGAGGGACTGCTTATGGCCCAGAATTTGAGGGTCTCGGGCCCCCTGGAAGGGGGCTCTCCACACGTCCAGCACAGAGGTGGCTCCCGTCACGCATGGGAATGGCTCTAATGCAGGGTCTGAGGCTGGCCTAGAGGCAGGGAGGCCTGAGGCCCAAGGTGGAGAGTCTCCTTCAGGTCTGTGAGGAGCAGAAGAGGAGCCGTAAACATTTTCCTCACCCTCCCGGGGAGCAGGGCCTGCAGGATGGGAGGTGTGAAGACACAGCTCCTGCGCCTGGCAATGGCGTCTCGGGTGGCCTCTCCTCCTTTCTGACTTGGCCTCACGGCCCTAGGCAGGCTGGCCTCCCTGCTGTCCCCAGATCCGGGCTTCCCAGCTCGAGCCCAGTGTGGTTCTGAGGTGAGGAGATGGAAGGAGGGGTCTGCGCCTCTGTGAACCAAGCCTGGGGTTCAGAAGGAGCGTGGAGAGAGCCCAGACAGAGCCAGATGTAACCCCTGCTCCCGCACAGGCCAGCCATACGTCCCTGAGTGAGGGATCTAGGCTTTCTGAGCTTCAGGTTCCTCGTCTGTGAAAACAGGTGACAAAACTACCTGTCTTGCAGTGTAGTGGGGAAACCAAGAGAATTCCCAACGTGTTTCAGTGCCTGGTACTCAATAAGAGCATAATAAATGATGGGGGCTGTTATTATTATGATTTCTCTGAGGAGATCACAGAGCAATCCCCAGGAAATAGCCTTTCCTGTCCCCTGTCCCCACGTCCATTCTTGCCTCCTTCCTGGGATAGAGCAGAGAGCCCTGCATTGGTCTGGAGGGGACCACCCATCCTCAGCAGACCTGCTCACCTCTGGGGCTTAGAGCCCAAGGGGAAGGGGGACAGTGAGACGTTTCTGGAAGGATCATGGAGTGAAGGGGATGGGGGCGGGGGGGCGTGGCCCTCATATATGTGGGGTTAACCCTCACTGTGACAGAGAAGCACTACTGGGGATTTGGGAAGTCAGCTCGAGGGGCTTTGCAGGGTAATCCGCTTTCCCAGGCCTCAGAAGATCGAGGCCACCAGGCCGAGGCCCCACACCTGACCTCCTCTGCCTCTGTGCTCACCTGCACCCCCTCCTGGCAGGCAGCCCTCAGGGCCCTCTACTGCACAGTCCGCAGCTCCACCTAACCTCCAAAGCCAGGGGCATCTCCCTTGAACTTGATTGACCGGTCTCTCCTTTGGAAAGCTTGTCTCTCCCACTCCGGAGCATGTCTTTACCATCGCCCTCCGCACCCTGAATGGTCATCACTCAGGGCGCCCCAAAGCACGCCCCAGCCGACCTTTTCACCTTGTCCTTGGGTGATGATCTCGCATCCCTGGGCAGCTTCCACGACCCCATCACACCTGCCTGGATCTGGGCCAGAGCTTCCACCCACAGACCCACTCAGAGTTCAGGTGTGGAGACCGACTCCACACGCCCCAACGGGCTCATACCCGGCTCGTCCACAGAGACGGTCACCGAAGGCCCTGGATTGAGGGCCTGCCCTGATCAGGCATGCGCAGGGAGGAAAGCACCCTAGGCTGAGCTGAGGACCTTTGACCCTGGAGGTCGGGGCCAAGGAAGAGCCCCTGGGAAAATCAGGACAGCGTGGGGCGTGGGGGCCAGGGAAGGGGAGGATTCGAGGGTGGAGCCATCCATCCACCAGGCCAAGTGTCCTGTGATGTTTTTGCACCGGCGCTAGTGAGAAGGAGACAGCGAGCAAGAAGAGTGCTTGCACAAATGCTTGCAATATCCTATCCAACACTCACAGCAACCTTCAACCCAGAGGTGAGGAAACTGAGTCTCAGAGAGGTTAAGCAAACTGCTTCAGGCCACACAGCTGCAGAATGGTAGAGGAGCCTGGGGAAGGAGACAGGGCTCTCAAACCGGTGTCAGGTCCCCACACTCCTGCTTTCCACCATGGTGCTCTCCAAGGAGACCGAGCGTCTCTTTGGCTTTAGCTGGCGCTCACGACGAGCGAGCGCTCTTCCCAGGAGAGGGAGAGCGGACCACCCTGGGCGGGAGAGAGAAACTCCAGGGCCGGATCTTGTCCTCACCAACACTGATGAGCAATAATGACCAACCGCAGGTCGTCTTTCTCTCCTCGGTCGGTCGATGGAAGATTCCAGGGACGGGGTTTGGAGCCTCAGGTCAGCCGGGCATGTGAATGACAAGGTGCTTAAAGGACACTGGCTTATTTTTAACTTGTCTTTGCTTTCCTTGTATTCCGTAGCGGGTATGTATTACTTAGAATGGAAAAAATAAATCCATCAGAATAAAAGATACTAGCAATGTTTGACGTGCCTGTTCTTAACACTGTGTTGACACCTCACATTATTTTGGTTTCGGGCTGGCTCCTCCGTCACCCTGGCCCTCCGTTCTTCGGGTTCTTTAGCGGGTCGGCCCCAGCCGGAGCCGGGACTGTGCTGGGGGAAGGGTGGGGGGAGGATGACAGCCCAGCGGGGCTGGGGGCAGGGGCTCTCTCCCGATTTGTGACCACCAGCTGCTGGGGCAGACGCCAAAGGATTACCCGGCCCAAAGCCTTGAATCTGCTGACGAAGCTGCCAGAGGCCACCTTATCACTAATACAATTATTCCCCCAGGGAACAGGTCAGCAACTTCCTTCTGACTCCCTGGAGGTCTGGGGCAGGTGGGGAGGGGGTGAATGGTAAAGGCTGCGGAACTGACTTTCCTCTGGCAGGTAAAGCCCCCTGCCCCAGCCTGTCTAGGGCCTGCCATACCCTGTGTCACTGAGAGATGACCCGGATGTAGTCAGGAGGACGAGTGGCTTCTGGGATGAGGTCTGGTTGGCTGGGCTGAACACCACGGTTCCAGGAGCCACGGAACCAGGGCTTCTGGTTTGGGGCAAGCTGCGTTCATGGCATTTGGTCCTGGGACCATGTTTCCTGGGAGTTTTCAAAAATTCTCTTTATTCCCCCACCCATGCGTCTTCATGACCTCAGAGAAGGGATAGCTAGTGATGTGTTCACAGGCTCAGGAACTTAGGACGCCAGTTCCACTTCCGGGAAACTATCCCTTGGAAAATTTCACGAAGATTTAATTGTGGGGCTGCTCCCTGCGGCAACTGTCGTAAAACACCCCTCTGGAGACAACTGGCCGAATACAGTCTGCTCCATCCCGACAGCGGAATGCTGAGCAGCCTTTGCAGATGGTCACGTTTCTATATTCATTTACATGGAAATATGCCCAGTGTTTCAACTTGAAAGCCAGCTACAAAACAGCATGCACAGTTTGATTTCATGTGTCTCGGGGGAATTTCTGGCCAAAGATCATGAGACTACTTTCTCGTTGTTAGGACCTAAATTCGTCAATAGTTTCTTTTTCTAGAGCAGTGAGCGGAAGATTCAGGCCTTGGAGAGGCAGACAACAGCAGGAACGCTTGTCAACAAAGCCTCTTTCTTTTCTTTTCAAGATAACATTTAGAAATGATCAGATAGTTCTCCCAGCCTTTGGCTTGTGAAGTGCTTCTCCCAGAATCGTTTTAGAGGTCCGAGCAGAAGTGGAGAGGCTCCCTCTTCCGTCCCAGGGGAGCAGACAAAAGGCGGTCTGTCCAGGACGCATCTGATCTGCAGCTCCAGCTAAGGGTGACCCCTTCCTCTGTCCCTGATGACCGGAGGTGAAGCACGCCTGTTTAACTTCTCCCCCCCCCGGCTGCTGTGAGAGGTGGGCTTCTCCCGTCTCTAGCAGAGCTATTATAAAGATGCCACAAGCAGAACTTCTCGCCACAAAACAGAAGTCTGGCTGTTTTGTTTGAATGTTTAATAATGAACATGTATTACAATTAGAAGCAAGGTAAAGCTCTTTTCATTAAAAGAAAAAAGGAATGGCTAATTGGAAATAAATACTAATACTACCTACTAACAATAATTAATAATAATAGGAAGTACTTACGAAGAAATTGTTCAGCATTTCTATGTGTAAGAATGAAATGCTTCTCAGGCCCTCGATTTCGCTCCCTCATTACTGGAGGGGAAGGTTAAAATCTTGAACAGCAGGTTGGGCCTGAGCCCTGCCTCATCAGACAGCTACAGGTGGGTGCAGCCTGGTCCTGGAGGCGCCCTTTCTCTGTCTACACCTGCTTTAGCCCCATCCATGCTGTGCTGGGGAGGCACTGGAGGTTCCCTGCCCGGGCAGGGGCAACTGGGCTGGGGAGAGCTCTTGGAAAACCAGTACAAAAGTATTTTAAAAGTTTAACAAGAGCTAAAACCATACCAGTGTATTCTAGCTGACTGACTCCTGGTTCTAATATTTATCATCTCTGAGAAATGAAACAACCTAACACAGGGGTTTTCAACTTGGGCC